GCTAAATTGGTAGTCTACCCTTATATTTATATGTTGGCACCAGCAAAAAAATCCATACTTTCCCTCAATATTCAGTGAAGCGAAAAGGTAACGGGACATTAGCCATTTCTGCATAATAATTTCGCTATTCACATCCAAAAATTTTAAGAAAAGGTTGTAACAGCTGTGAATATGACCACCAACCCTACAAACTTCACCACCTTTTACTTTTTAACTCCATCTGTTTTGTTAATGTAATGCATTGTACCACCAAATAAAATATATTTAAATTTAAATATTAAAGAGGGTAGTATTAAAAGGAACAATCAGAAAATTTAAATATAAATTATAAAACAAAAATAAATAATAAAAGAATCAATTTAAATTCGTAGCTGAGCCTGTATGAATTTATATAGTGTTTCTACAATAGATGTGGTAAGCTTGGACATATTACATCGTCCGTGTTTGAGGTAACTAGAATAGGAATAAAACTCTTAATAAGAATAATTTAAAACATGTCGTAAGGGGTCTAATGATTTATTCAGACCAAATGCTGTTCTGTTCCCATTGAAGTGTAGGCTTAATGATTGACTTTATGTTTTTTGTTAAGAGGCTAAAGATTGTTTTTACGTGAAGCAAATCCTTGTGGTTGGATGCTTTGCTTTGTTTACACACCAACATATAATTAATTACATAATTTTATATTAGTTAACTATATTATTTACCCCAACTTTAATGTCTGACCTATCGCAGCCTCCACGCATGTCAAACCCCAAACTCAGCCACACTTTGAATTTACAAAAACAAAACACTTTCGTATTCTAATTTATTGAGGAGACAGCAACCTTGTAGTCGGACAGATCTCATTTTGAATAGGTAAAACGAGTTTGAAGATAGCCATTTGTCACATTTATGCTCAAGAGGCTTTCTTATTTTATTCAGGGTTTGAAGATTTTAACATTTAAAAAAAAATCAATTTAATTAATTAATGTAATAGTGCTCCTTGATTACCTCCCCCTAACAGTCTTTGTACCGCAGAACGGCATTATTTCCTTAATATTATAGTGCCCCTTGAATCATTTGTACTTCGCTTTTCTTTCTCCTTACAAAATTATTTTCTAAACATCAAAATCAAATACCGAAATAAAATATTTCATTATTTTCTAATCTCAATGATGAAAAAAAGAAGAGGGAATTATGTAAATTTTAGAGACGGTTTGTATAATTGATCTTAGACAGATGCGTTGGAAATGTTAACCAATGAAAACAATTGGTTTAGGGTTAAGATATTTTGGCAAGCAAGAAATGAATTGTGGTGGACATTGAGTAGCAGTGGAGAATCTGCGTCCCAAACGAAGCACAAAAAGGGAAGAGAAGGAGCATATGTGCAAAGTGTATCCCCTTCCCCCTTTTTAGTCACCAAAATACTCGTACAAAAAAAATTAAAACTAAAGATACGAAGAAAATTAAAACATTTCAATGAGAATGGCGACCAACATCAAAACCCAAAAACCTTCATAAAAACTCATCGTCTCTGTCGAATGAGACGTTTGACGAAGTGATAAAGGAGTGGAGAGCGAACCAAATAATCTGGCAGGTTGCTTCGCTATACAATCTGATTACATTCGCAAACGATCTTTTACCAAAAGAGATGATTTGACTATACGTGACCATTGACTAACCAATTAGAATATAAATGTTTTGATGGTTTTTGTGCGGGAACCAAAACGACAGCAGAAGTATGTGAAAAATGTACCAACAACCATGAGGATCGTGCCACGAGCATTGAAAAATCATGTCACAAGAATAGAGAATCTTATTCAAAACTAAAAAGACTCAAACAAAAAAGATAAAATACATAATATAAAAAACAATAGAACTAATAGTCACTGGCGGTCAATAACCACAATAAAATTGGTGTTACCGCCGGCTAAATAAAAATCAAATAGAAAGAAGAAGACGGCAAAAAAATATTTAAAAAACTATCTTTAAAAATAATAAGTATTTGATTCTCATCTTTTATTCATAAATTTAATTCAAATCTTAATTTTATTACTAACTCTTAAAAAGTTAGATTCGATGTATTTGAGATTTGAATTTAAATTACGTTATAAAAACAAGCTCCTATGTGCTAAAAAGAAAAGAAGAAGAAGAAAATTATGGTATTAAGGTTGGAAATATGTGCATGAGATAGAGAAGATGATTAAGAAGAAGCTCGGACGCTACCTTTCATTCCATGAATGTCCAATCTATATTCAAGATTTTATTCGGCGACATTATTTGGTAGGTATATATGGAAAATTTTAAAATCGAACCCTATGCTATATAGAGCTGTTACGCCAAATTTTATTTTACTGATATTTTTATTATTATAATCATGGGTGTTCAAAAATACCTACCTAATTAAGTTGATTTGATCTATCGACTCACCGACCCAAACCTAAAATAAGGTAATTTTCTAAAAAAAATATTACCTCACTCATGATTTTTGACGGGTAGTTGGGTCAGATCTGAGCTGAAACTTTTTATAACTAGATACTCAATCTGACCCGATAATTTTAATATATATATATATATATATATATATATATATTATGTTCCTTATTATTTTGATTTTAAAATTAAATTTAAATCCCTAATTTTTTTAGTTTTGTATTATGTAATTTTAAGTTTCATTTTTTTAAAGTTTTTATTAATTTATCAATATAAGATTTGAAAGAAAAAAATCACGATCGATTTTAGTATTTTCTTTTTGAAATACACTTTAATACATATATATATATATATATCCAAATATTTATCATTAAAACTAACTTCAAATCACTAATTTTTTTTGTATAGATTCTATACTATGAACTTTTAAATTTTTATGTATTTCCTATGTGATTTTTTTTAAATTGAATTAAAAAAATAAAAATATATATGAATCGGGTATTCGTGACCTAAAAATACGGATACTCAATTGCTAGTTACCTAGACTTAACGGGTCGGGTCATGGACCAACAAATATACTACCCGGAAAACCAAATGCGGGTACTAAATTTTAAACACCCCTAATTATAACACATGAGAAAATATAGATTTAAATGTGTTTAGTTGAGTATATAGTGACGAATCCAATATAAATATAAGAAAGAATTTATCTAACATGGCTTATGTATTTTTAATTTAAAACTATAATAACACTTAATTATATATATACATCTATATATATATATATATATATATATATATATATATATATATATATATATATATATATATATATATATATATATATATATATATATATATATGGATTAAATCTGAAAAGAAAATAGTAGTTTGACCAATATAATTTTCTTAACATAATTGATACATATTTTTATTTAGGGTAAACTACATATTATTTTTTTAAAATCATATCTAACATTACGTTTTGGTTCTGTTTTGGTCATCTACTGTTAAAAAAATAACATTGATGCTAATGTGATATTTTTAATTATTTTTCAATCCTTACATGACATTATCTTATAGTGACACATCAACATCATCGTTAATTTTTTTTAAAGATGATGTCCAATATTGAACTAAAACATAACATTAGATATAATTTAAAATAAACAGTAGTGACCAAAATAGAAACTAAAATATAAATGGATGACTAAATAAATAATTTACCCTTTTTCTGGCCTACGTAGGCCTAGGCCTGTATACGCCCCTATGAATAAGAACGTATAATATTTTGAAGATATAAATTTTAAACTATTTTTTTTTATAAATTATGAATCTCATCCTAATCCTATTTGAAGGGTTGGGAAGAGAAGATTATAAAAGAATGGGAATGTTTCTAGTGAATCTAGAACACATGACATAAGGGAATACGATGAAATAAAGAATAATTTGACCACTCCTAAATGTGCTTGTTTGATTTTTTAAAATTATTAAGACCTAATACGAAAATAAGTGTTTAAACTATACTCAAAATTGACTTCTGATACCTAAAGAATTATTTGTTCAAAATAGGTGTCCATCATTAAAAAAATCAACAAGTGACACGTGTTACGTTTCTATTTTCTTGATTTTTTTAAAAACACAATATTATTTAAAAATAATTTTTTTTAAATCCAAACATGACACGTGTTACTTAAAGATTTTTTTAACAAAAAATTCTTTAGGCACCAAAAGTCAATTTTAAGTATAGTGTGGGCACTTATTTTTATGTTAAGCCAATAATTAAACATATATATAAATTAATATTTATAAAATAAATTGAGGTGAATATAAAACGATATTTGTTCAAAGACTCTCAACTATTTGACAATGAACATTCATACCCTTAACATATGCAATGTTCGAACGTAAAACCTAAAGAGATAACAATAAATGTTTTAACCACCGAAATCGTTTGATTCGTACTAAATTTATATATTTATATTTAACACATATTCTTGTAGAAATTATATGGCCTGATTATAGAGAATAGATGTGTATTTTGGAAGGTAGAAAAGATTATACCCTAGGTTCAAAAACAATATAATATATTCCGATGTGTTAATCAGTTGGTCTGCAGTGGGAAACATGGTGTACACTAATTCAGTCAAGCAATTTGGTTGATTAGATTGTGCAAGGCAACTTTCTGTTACATAATTCAGTAGCAAAAGAAGAAGCTTTTCATCATGCATATCGGCCAAATACATATTCTTCTTGTATTTATTTTATTTATAATATTCGGCATGGATTTTTCCCAGGAGTGAGTTTTAAGTTTTGACTGAAAATTGCAGATGGGAACCGGAGGACTTAATGATAGAGTAAAGAAGAAGCTCCTTTTTTTAATTAAAAAAATGAATAACTTCTCACACTTTCTCCTTCAGATTCCATAACTTAATAAGCTTTCTTTTCATCCTTCAAGTGCTTGTTTTTTTCCCTTTCCCGTCTACATCAATTCCCTCTTTTTTAATACATTTATTTGCCCTCTGTTAGCTTATAAATCCACACTACCCTTTATTAGATTCTTCAGCCAACTTGTTTCATTTCATAGACAATTCATTCACTCTGAATATCGTCATGACTGGGAAGAGAAACCAGACCGGCAGCCCCGTCGGCAGCCCGTCGTCCGGCAACATCTCCGACAGTTCTTCCAAAGAACAAGACCGATTCCTCCCAATAGCTAACGTGAGCCGCATAATGAAAAAATCCCTGCCCGCGAACGCCAAAATTTCGAAAGAAGCCAAAGAGACGGTGCAAGAATGCGTATCGGAGTTCATAAGTTTCATCACCGGCGAGGCTTCCGACAAGTGTCAGAGGGAGAAGAGGAAGACCATAAACGGCGATGATCTGTTATGGGCAATGACGACGCTGGGTTTCGAGAATTACGTCGGACCTCTCAAGGGTTATCTCAACAAGTATAGGGAAACCGAAGGGGAGAAGAATTCCATGGCCAGGCAAGAAGATCATCACCATCAGCAATCTCCTACGCCGTACACTGTGATCAACCATGGCGGAGAAAATGAATTCAACGATGTAAATGCGGGTGTATCGTCATCGGCTAATGCCGCAGGTCATTTCCGGGGTTATAACAACAGGTTCTTTCCGCTCGGGACCCAAGTGAGTCAACCTCCGAGTTGCGGAGATCATGGTGGAAGAGGAATCGGATATGAAGAAAATTTGATGGCGACTGCAGGTGGTTTCAACACAAGCATGATCGGAGAAAATGGTGATGGGAATGGAAACGGTAATAGAAGCATGGCGGCTCTTTTTCACAGGGTTGACTGGTAGTACTTTGAATACTTGAAAATTTTATAGGGTAAACTGCTTAGTACCTAAAGTATGCTTTTGTTTCGGTTTAGTACCTAAACTTTTAATTTTTTCAAAATCATATCTAATGTTTACTTTTTGTTTCATTTTAGTACCCCATTGTTAACTTTTTGTTTCATTTTAGTACCTAAATTTTTAACGGCGGAGTACTAAAATGAAACAAAAAGTAAACTTTAGGAATGGTTTTGAAAAAATTGAAAGTTTAGGTACTAAAGCGGAATAAAAATGATAGTTTAGGTACTAAACATGTAGTTTACCCAATTTTATATATATTTTATTATATGTAATATGTTGAAGTTAATTTTTCCTTGTTTAATTTGACTAACTATGACTATATGTATGAAGTTTTATTAGAAAATCTGCTAATAAAATTATTGTTAAATTGCATAATTAAAAGCTTAGTTGTATATATAATTTATGTTATCTTTGTGGTCGTGGGATTGAGTCCCACGGTGGGCAATTCATAATTCTGATTGTCGAAGGTCTTCCATGGAAGCTGCTCTCAACCTGGCGTTTGGGGCAGCCTACTACCTTACCTCCTCTCACTCCATTACATAGGGGAATATGGTCAGCTAATTTTGTATGTATATCTTACATGCATACAAACAAGTAAGGTTTTATATTATCTATCATGGAGATTTATGGCTTCATTAATTGTGGGTTTTAGTTATGTCCTTAGTCTTTCATTTTTTGGATTTTTGAAATTTAGTCAATTTGCTTTTAATTCTTCAAATTTAGTTCTTTTCTTTGTGTGATTGAAAAATTAAAGTCAAAGTAATAATACTATTAATTTTTCTTATTAGATTTGAATACTTTTGATATTCTGAAATCTTAATTAAAAATTAAATAATAAAGTTGTTAATTTAATATTAATATCGTATAAAAGTTGGTAGAGAAAAAAAAGATGAATTCTAACATGAGAAAGGGATATATAGCTGGATTTTTATTTAAATTCATGTCAAGTTATAAATTCGATTACTTATTTACAAAGTAAAGCACTTTTTAAAGAAATATATTAATATTTTATTATTAAATTTAAGTGAAAATTTTATTTTGTCATGTATATGACAATTTGCATGAACATCGCAAAAATATTGAACAGTTCTTTTAGTAGTCTATGTATAAAGCAAAATTATATATTTAGCCTTTCTACTTACATCAGTTGTTAAAGGAATCGTTGTTGTTCCTAAAGTTTACAGGTTCGAGCATCGGTAGCTGCAACAGGATAATTGAGCGTTCATTGTCAAATGATTAAGAGTATTTATAACAAATATTACTTTGTAATCACCTTAGCTTAATAAAAAAATCTAATTCTAATTCAAATAGTAATTGTAAAATATATCAAGTCAAATTTTACTATTAGGTATTATATTATGTATGAGTTATAGATTTACTTTATGTTCTTCGGTTTAATCATTTTTAGCATTTGTAACTTGTTTTTGTATTATTTGAGACATGAGTGAAATTATAAAATTCAAAAAGTATAAAGATTAAAATAACCAAATTATAGTATATAGACTAAATTCACGACTCATGCATTGTTTAAGGGGCTAATGAAAGAATTTGGCCTAAAATATTTTGTGCCAAATCCATAACCAATTACAAATGCTATAAGTACTAAAAATAAACAGAACAAAATAGACATGTAAGAAGATAAAATCAGTTGCTTTTACTTTTGCCTTTTGAGAGTATTTTTATCCTCGTACTAACTTAAATTATTAACGTTGTCGTTCCCCAAAAATTATAATAATACTCTTAACTATAAAATTAAATTAGTGTTGTTTTCTTATTAGAGAAAATAGACATTAATCGTTATGACATTAATGTAAACATTGTTGTGCCAATATAATATTTTACGTTGTGAACATAACAATTCATAAATGAACAATGATGTGATATAAAAATTTAATTATTTTTTTAAAAAATTGAATATTTAATTATTTTTAAAATAAAATATAAAATATTAAAAAAATCAAATGTCTTCATTGGATAAATCTTCAATAATTTTTCTGCATCGAGCAAAAATGACATATTAGATTTCTTTCTACGATATAAAATTGATGATACTCTGGCGACGTTGGGGAGGGCTACCCCGACTCATACCCCCATCGGCGTTAGAATGTTCTATGAGCCTCCGGTGGGGTTGCTTGCTTTGCTGCATAAGGATCTGCTTGATTCTAGCAAAAAATTGTTCTTTGGGTTTCCGTTTCAATAAAAAAAAAATATTTTAGAATTCAACTTTCTCTTTTTAGAAGAAATCAATATAATAAGACGACGCCAATTTAAATTTATGAACGACTATTTAATTAATTATTTTTTATTATTTTATGTTAATAAATTGATAATAATTTTGATTTTACTTTTATTTTATTATATTGAGTATATCTAATAAATCAAAACTTGATCTCCAAAACAAGACATAAATATCATTTTAGTGTAAAGTTTATCTCGACGTTTTTAAATTATAGGAAAGAATCTACACGAAGTTGGTTTCACTAAAGAATCATTTAAAGAATAAAGAGTTCGTCAATGTCTTTTTCGATGAAAAATATTTATGACCCTAAACGTTGTTCATCTGAACCATCATATATATTAATCATATATACTACAGTATTCACCACAATGATCAAATCTGACCTTCTCAATTACTTTTTTTGAGTTATCCTCAATTTCTACTTTATAAACTTTAAAAAGCATTTGAAGATTAATATTTTTATGAACGAAATATAAGTGCACATATAACGTGAGTACTCATCTATGAATGTTATGAAGTATTATTAATCATTTTATGATATTGTGAGAATGACTCTCAAACATTCATATGAATTAATTTCTAAGATGTATATAAATTTATTAACACCTATTTTATTGGTTTTGATCTATTTTCCCTTGATATAATTGACACATATATAAGTGTTTGTAAAATTAAGAGACTACCAAAAAATAATATGATACAAGATGTTTAACTCTACCTTTTAAGATATGATTAAAGACGGTGATTTAACATGAATACGAAGGTTCCAACCCGACTTGACCCAACCCAATAAGGTCAGATTTTTAAAAAAAAATTAGGTTTGGGTCAGGTCGGCTTAGATTTTTAAGGGGCAAGGTCGGGTTGGGTTTGGATGTATGGTGAATTAACTCCAACCCGAGAATAATCATGTAATTTTCTTAAAAATTATTATTTTTAATTAAATCCTTATTTTTTATCGGGTCATGTCATATTTATATTCTAAAATTTCGAGTCGGATCGGAGTCAGGTGGAGGATATATATTTTTCAGGTCGGGTCAAGTGAATGATACATAATTTCAAGTCGGGTTGATCAAAACTCGATCCTAACCCGACACGTTGCCATCCCTAGATATGACCTAAGCGCTTAAGTCATAATGCTAAAATTTTTGTATTTAATTTCTGTTTAGTACCACATAATTTCACATGTAAGGTTTCACATTTTGCCATCCCTCTCTTGTAATGGTTAGAATTATCTTCTGGAACTCTCAAGGCACACTCGGCCTTGTATTTCACTGGTATTTGAAATTGTTAATACAGACTCAAAGTCCTGACATTTTTGCTATTTTTGAGCCTCGTGTTAGTGGAGCTAAAGCGGATGGTTTCATTCGTAAGTCGGGTTTTGATCATTCTTTCAGAGTTGAAGCAAATGGATTCTGGGGTGGTATTTGGGTGCTGTGGAGAGACACTGTTTCTATGGATTTCCTTGTGGCTTCAAATCAGTTCTCCCATGGGTTATGTGGGGATTCTGGGAGCTCCAGAAGTTTCTTTATTTCTTTTGTTTATGCTCGTCCGGTTGGGAATGTTCGCAAAAATGTATGGAATCAATTGCGTACTCTTGAACCAAACAATAATAAACTGTGGGTGCTAGGAGGTGAATTTAATGCTCTCTGTGGGTCTTATGAAAGGAATGGGGGTTCACCAAGAAGATCAGGTGGATGTCCGTTTTTTTTTTTCTGAGTTCCTATTCCTTTCTGGTTTAGTTGACATGGGTTTCAATGGGCCACGGTATACAGGGCAGAGCAGAAATCTCTGCCAGAGACTTGATAGGTGCATATGTAATAGCAACTGGCTAAACTATTTTAAATTTCTCGAAGGTTGTCCATTCGCAGAGTTTGGGTTCGGATCATATACCTATTTGCCTGTCTACTGAGGCGCCTACATCAGATCAGAGAAACCACCCTTTCAGGTTTGTCGTAGCCTGGAATGATCATCCGGATTTTGAAAATTTTCTGGCTAGTTCTTGGAATAGCAATGCTTATGTTTTCGATAACCTGATAGATTTGCAAGATAAGTGTCGGCGCAGAATAATGAAGTCTTTGGCCATATTGGAAGGTGTAAGACTTTACTTCTTGCAAGAATTCGTGGAATTGAAATTATCTTGGAACGATCTAACTCTTTGTTTCTTTTGGACATCTATGACTCCCTTAAGAAAGATCTCGACATGGTATTGGATCAGGAGAAGATGTTATGGCATCAAAAATTAAGAAGCATCCGAATTGCAAAAGAGGATTGGAACACAAAATACTTCCATGTCTCAACAATTAATAGAAGACGACGAAATTATGTTCGTATGCTTAAGCTGTTAGAGTATGCCCAAAGACCAATCATGAGAAGATTATAATGATACTTTTACTTTACCATTTTTATTGAATAAAGACATTACCACTATTATTTTCAGTTGTATTTCTAAGTCTAACATAAACTGAAAGATGATAAAGTCCATATAATAATATGCTCATTATTAAAGATCCTTATTCAAGTATAATTATGGGCATGAACAATAATAATACATTTAAGGCTAACATAGAGTTGACTGATGACAATGAGTTGTCATTGGCGTAGAGATGCCAATTTTGATACATGAGTATGTTGTTAGAGAACAATATATTGGATTGACATGCTATGAGCATGTTTCTTAGATTGTTATGTGACAGTTACAACTTTGGTCATGGTGATAATCATATTTATGATCGTCAGACTTGCGATCATTACTATTTCAACATATATTGTTGCATGTTTTGATACAGTTAAACATGCTCTGTAACTGGTTGCACTATAAAGACTGATATTAAACATATCACGATATATGTAGTGAGATGTGAATGATCAAGATAGGATTTGTTCTTCCTACATAATAGGAAATATATCACATGCCACTTAATTGAGTAAGACTATAAATGCATGGCCATGCTCGACCAAGTTGATATGAGATATCATCAGTTTTTCATTTATTTTAGTCTACTCTAGATACCAAGAAATAATATATGGGTTATACAATTGTGACTATTCGAAGACTTGTGCCTATTCTAGATATAAAGGACAAAAGGATATAATACATAAGTAAATTGGTTACAAATATGTTCTGTCAAATCATGACTTCTTGCAACTTAGGTGACAATGATATATTGCTGGATATCACTCATTGTTTGTAATCTTAGAATGGTTCTAATAATCACTACTAATGTTACAGGAACCTACATGGTCAAACCCAGAGTTGAAAAGAGCAATTTATAAATATGTTGCACATGTACAATTTTATTATACATGAATAAAATGCATTATTAATATTGGTTGATATATATATATATATGCATGTAATTTTAATTATACATAAAAACCATTGAATTTATATTAAAAAGAATATAATTAGAGTAATTATATTACTTTTACAAAATTCAAAATAAAAACCCTAAGGGTTAGGGAAACACATATAAATAGATTATGTTGGTCTAGTAACCTCTTTAATCTTGTTGAAAGAAATTCCTCAAAATAGTTTTTGAGGAAAGAAATTGCTATCAACTTCTATTTAATTAGGTGAACTGAGTAGAGGCCGAGACATTTTCGTAGAGGCTTGCGATTCGAACCGTTCATGATTGCTGATGTATTGTTGTTTTTCAAGGAACCCGAGGTGAAATCTTATATCACTTCCTCCCGATTTTGGTTTTATCATGCATGGATCGTTGGTGAGATTGTCATGTTTGTTTCTGTTGCGCCATGGGATGCATCGACGGTCCTAACATAAGCTTGTTAATGGTAGATGTTGTGAGGATAAATTTGTACTGCAAAGTCATGCAGTTCATTATTACCGTGATTTTTTCTCCTTTGAGCCTTCCAGTCTACAACAATCGATCTTTTAAGGGGTTGCATCACCTAGAGATTAATCGTATCAAGGTTTTAACTCGGACTGTCACAACTAAAGAGGTGTGACAAACCTTATTTATAATGGATCCATTGAAAGCTTCAAGAATTGATGGTTATCAAGCCGTTTTTCCCAAAAGAACTGGCCTATTGTTGAAGATAAAATGGCATACTTTGTAACATCCCAATTACCGGGCTAGTGACCAGAATGTAAGATTTTGAAACTTCGTGATCAATTCTAATAAATTGAAAAGTTTAGGGATTTATTTGGAATTTCTTCATGTAGGATTGAATAGCAAGGTTTGGAAGTGGAAGGGGTATAATGGTCATTTAGCAAGGAAATGAATTAAAATTTTATTATGAATGTATTATATACACGTGGAGGATGTGAGAAAAGGAAAGAAAAATCTGGAGACTTGGTTCAGCTCTCTCTTCTTCTTCTTCTTTTCCCATAACTCTATTGGTAAGATGAGTTGGTCTCAAGTTGATTTTTCTTTCATTTTCAAGTTAGTTTTGATTCTTAGAGTGTTAGGAAAGCTTAAGGAAGCTTAAAGAGAAGTAGAAACTAAAAGATTTACAAGTTATGGGTAATTGAATATAAAGGGTTTTTGAGTGAATTGATGAGAAAGAGTTAGTAAATGAATTTTGAAGTGAAATTTTACTTGTCATAGGATGGAATAAGAAATCTAAAGTGTTAGATATAGATTTGAAACGTGATGATTATTTGTTGTGATTTTTTTTCCATATGTTCTAATGAGATTTTTGGTGTTGAGGAGTTTAAAGTGAGACAAGTTAGTTTTTATAAGCATATTGTAGTTTAAAGGCCTGGAAGGAGTTAAAAGTAAGGGTTTTAGCTGAGCCTAGGTTAATTTTTTAAATGAAAAAGGTTATTTTTGGGCAAAGGTGTCGGTACTAGATAAACAATACCGATACTTCAAAGCAAAAATAGGTGATATTTGGGTTTGAGTATTGATACTGGAAGAAGAGTATCGATACCATATGGTGAAATTGTATGAATCAATAGTATAGTATCGATACCAAAGGAGTAGCATCAATACAAAGAGTATCGAATCAAGCTTTTTCCTTTTTCATTCTCCCATTCTGGTCACTAAGTGAAATTTGTTTTCCATTGATTCGAGCCTTAAACTTTTTTATGTGTGTGCATTTTAGTCACTTTTTCTCATGATTACATTGTGGTTAAATATCATTTCTTAATGGATAGTTTTGTGATTATTCTATTTTAGCCATTGAATGGAATTTTAGAATGATGTATTTTGAGCATTTAATTTCCGCAAGTTCATATTTTTATCCCTTTTTATGTGTTGTTGATTTTTTACTCTAGTCACTATTTTTGATCTAGTGTTTAAAGCTTGAGGGGTTTATTGCATCTTTGATCCTCATTGTCATGTTTGTCTTATGATTTAGTCCTTGTAATTATTGCATGACTTGGTTATGGTTTATTTTCAATTTTTATCATGTATCTTCTGTTTTAATACATTTTAATCCTTATATGTTAGTTTACTTTTTGGTTAGATCGTATTTTATTTTATTTTTATGACATTTTAAATATATTCTAACTCGTATTTTTTAAGAAAACGTATTGTAGAATGGGCGTTAAGAGCACTACTCGATTGAAGTAGTGCGTTTCGAGACGACATTCGAACGAAAAAGTGAACTTAAAATAAATCGAGTTTATTTTATAAAAAATAATTTGTTCCATTTTTTTTCAATTTAAATAATGTCAATGTATGTTTAAAATGGTATGTTATGTTATTTCATGAAATTACTGATATTTAATTTATATTTGATTTGTGCTTTTTGACAACGTTGAGGAGGAGACATTTCTGGTATAAATGAGAAATAGATAGGATAGCCTGCCATTGTAGGATGTGCAAATCCTACGATTTCTTCTCAAATTAAGGAATGTTCCCTAGTAGTTAATTCGAAACAAATTATTCAATATTCAATAAAAGGATCACACTTTAAATATTGATTCGAATTTTAAATTTCCACCACGACAGCATACAAGCGATTAGGTACCAATTTTTGGGCATTGTTGGGGTGCTAACCCTTCTCCATGCGTAATTGACTCCCGAACCTAAAATGAATCTTTGACAAGCGCATACCAGTTTTTTTTTCTTCTTAAAAACAATTTTTCTTAAAATTGTTTAAAAGACTTCTTTAGGTGTTCGACCTACCTAACCCAAAGATAGATGACGACTCCAAATCAATTTAATCAAAAATAAACACAAAAAATCAATTTCCCCAATCGAAAACTTATTTGTTCGTCCAAAAAGACGTTACGACAGAGGTACTTTAGAATGGTGATATGTTGAAGGGTTTTAAACCGACACGGGGATTTGAAAGGGTGATCCCCTATCTCCTTATATTTTTGTGCTTTGAATGGAAAGATTATCTCAAGCTATTAATCGGTGGGTTGTTACCGGGGATTGGAAGAAAATCCATCTGTCGAATAATAGCCCTGGAATCTCCCACTTGTTCTTCACAAATGATTTAGTTCTCTTTGCCAAAGCTTCATCGAAGCAAATTGTGGTAATTAAACATGTTATGGAGCATTTTTATACGTGTTTGGGCCATCGGGTTAGTCTAGCCAAAACTCAAATCCATTTCTCCAAAAATTGTGGGTCCGGTGTGAAAGCTTATGTAGCTCAAAACTTTGGATTTGAAGAAGTTCAAAATCTTGGGAAATACTTGGAAGTGCCTCTCTTACATGGACGAGTTATTAAGGCAAATTATTATTATTTGATTGAGAAAGTAGAGAAGCGACTGTCTGGTGGGTGTCAAAAAATTTATCTTTGACAGGGCGTATTACTCTTGCTAAAACGGTTTTACAGACGATCCCTTATTATTCTATGCAACCAACTTGATTACCTAAGGGGTTTTGTGACACTTTGGATAAACTTAACAGAATATTTTTGTGGAGCCCGAATATAGAATCTAGGAAAATATCATTACTTAACTGGAAGACGATGAAATTCCCAAAAGATAATAGAGGTTTGGGATTCAAGGATTTGGGAAGGCAAAAAGAAGTCTTTCTCATGAAGATTGGAATGCAACTAATTAACGATACTGATAAGCTTTGGATTAATGTGCTTAAACGTAAATATAGATGGAGTGAAGATGTGCCTGATGATATCTACCGGCCACGTTGCTCTCGCCTGTGGATGGGTAAGGATACACCGTTTGGAGATTGAGATTGGTGCAAGTTGAGGACGTGTGTACCTGAGTGGGTGTGCCATCGAATCGTTACTGTTTGCCTTCCGAGATTGAGCCTTGGTAAGGACTTTTCGGGTTGGGGACTGGAAGCATGTGTGGAAACATAATGTGCCACAACGAGTTAAGACCTTCATATGGTTAACTCTCCATGGAAAACTGTTGACCAACATGGAGCGCTATCGCCACCACATTGCTACGTCTGGGAGGTGTTCGGTGTGACAGGATGGGGATGAGGACATTTAGCCATGTTTTACACCGTTGTTTCTCTCGATGCCTCATGAGGAATGGTTCTTAATGAATATTAAAGGCCAAGGTAATTTCTCCTTCTTCCCAGTAACTGAAATATTATGTTTGCTATTGTGAACTGGAAAATGTGGAAATGCCGATGCAGCCTGATTCTTCAACCTGATTATATCGAAAAATAAGACTTGTTATTATAGAGTTTTAGACTTCGAAACGATATCATGGTGAGTGGAAAATCGAGTATACGACAAAACAATTGCGTTCCTTCCGTTGGTGGGATGTGTCAGCCTACAATGGGTTGGATTAAGGCAAATACCGATGGAGCTATCGTGGAGCAATGAGGATGGCTTCGGCTGGGGGAGTACTGTGTAATGATCAAGGGGTTTGGATCATGAGTTTTGCCTGTAGTTTAGGTTTGTACTTTTCTTGCGGCGGAAATGTGGGCAATTCATGATGCTTTGGTCCATGTATGGAATCTCGGATTCAGGAAAGTCGAACTCGAAACAGATTATGCACAAGCGATGGAGGCTATATACAATAATCGACAGGATAATGGAAACTGGACAGTTGTTAGAATGATTCAATCCCTGTTGTAACAGAACTGGGAAACAAGAATAAGCCATATTAAACATGAAGCTAATTGTGTTGCATACAAAATGACAACTATAACAGAACTGGGACAAGCTCTTGGAATGGTGCTTTATCATGGTTCCCCGAATGAGGTAGCTTTGTTTCTAGACAAGGACATGGCGTTGACTTCTTAATTCACACCTTATGCTTTTCTGTATTACCAAAAAAAAATCCTAATTCCAACAACATTTAAATTTAGAGATAAACTAAATTGATTTCGTTCTTTGATTTCTAAAATAGAAGAAAGGAGAAAAATATTTTCAAACAAGATAATCCCTCGAGAAAGAGGTCATTGAACTTGACGAGGCTCATAAACAGAAACCAAAGCCAAGAAATGAGCAATGAGACAACGGACTGAACAAGAAGGAGCACGGCTTACCTCGAGATTTCCTGATATCTCAATTCATATAAAAGAAAATTGGTCACTTATTAAATGTCCATTTGTTTTTAAGACCTCATAGAAACGGAAGGCCCCTAAACTATGATGAACGGTACGAGGATCAAATCATTCAAAATCAAATATTGATTCTCGATGGTCCCGCATTGGGGTATTCTAAAAAAAATCTCGATCATATGGAGACAACAAGATTGAGATCAAAAAGACCCTAAAGGAGAGCATCACTACTTGGTGTTTCAGGGTTAAAAGATGAAAACAAAAAGAGCTTACCTTGAGAAACAAACCATTCATGCTTCAGTTGGAAGATGAGTTTTAAGAAACAAATGTGATTGAGCGGTCGAGTTAGGGACAGAAATGGCATCAAGGCCATATACCTGACCATAATAAGAATTTCAGAGAGAATATTTCCTCCGAAATGAAGACAGAAAACAAAGACCACAAGATGATTAGGTTGATCCTCAAAAGATTGAAAACATGAGTTGTCAAGTTGCTACATCGATATTGAGGTAGGTTCCATTCAAAGATGATCAAGTGAAGGAAGAATAAAGTCTCCACTTTGACACGAGAAGAAGAATGATCAACATTTCTGTATACAAGAAAGTCATGCATTACATTTAGATACATTTATGTGCATTCATATTTTCATACATATATACATAATTCTTATATATTTTCCAAGAAAAGAAGAGAAAGAAAAGCCAGAATTCAAGCCTCAAATGGAGGGAATTACATTCAGAGTGGCAGAACCTCAAGAATTGAGGAACCCAATCCACAGAACGATCATTATTTTAAAGCGGGGCATTTTACCCAATCGATATGATATCTTTAGAGAAACTAAGTCTGATTTTCAGAGGTTTCTTGACATGGTTTTTCAAATGCATTTTTAAAGAAACTAAGTCTAATTTTCAGGGTTTCTTGACATAATGTTTTCAAATGAATTTTAAAGAAGCTAAGTCTAATTTTCTGAAGTTTCTAGATGATTTCTTCATATATTAAGTTTGATTTTCAGAGGTTTCTTGACGATTACTCAACCAATATGATGGTTTCAAAAGTTTTAAGGAACTAAGCTTGATTTTCAAGGTTTTCTTGATGAATAAGTCCCCCGGGCCATCAGTAAGTATTTCGAGCATGATGCTTAAATCCTTCGGGTAATCTATAAGCCTTTCGAGCAAGATGATAAGTCCTTCGGGTCATCCATAAGACCTTCAGGCAGAATGTTTTCACATGATTTTTGAAAAATGAGAAAGCGGCTTCCAAAGTTTCTCATTTAAATTGTAACATCCCAAAGATCGGGTTAGTGACTAAAATGAGAATTTTTAAAATTTAGGGATCAATTTAGGAAAAATTAAAAAGTTTAAGGATTTAAATAGGAATATTTCAGTGTTGGATTAAATTATAATTATAGAATGAGTGAAGGGCATTATGGTAATTTTAGCTTAAAAGATATTTTCCCCCTTATTAAGAGTGAACACGTGGGATTTAAAGAGTTATCTGGAACTCTTCTTCTTCTTCTTCATTTCTTCTTCTTCTTCTTCTTCTTCTTCTTCTTCTACTTCTTCTTCTTCTTTTCTTCTTCTTCTTCCTTTCTTCCTCCTGTGTGCTCAAGCTTAAGCCTCAAAGGTGAGTTTTAATTTTGATGGTTAATTCTTGAATGTTTAAGTTGGGTTTTATTATTTAAGGTGGCGTTTGGTTCACTGGAATGTTTATGAGAGAATTGGAATCTGTGAAGGAATTGGAATCTATAGGAATTGGAATCCAATTCCATATTATGTTTGGTTGGCAGGAAATGGAATTGGAATCCAATTCCATATTCTGTTTGGTTCGCAGACATGTCAGATGAATTTGATTTCAGTAATATAAAATGATAGAATTGTCCTTCTTGTTTTTTTTTGCTTTATTTTAGTTTATTTTACAACTTACATGTAGTAATATACTATAAAAAATTTAAAAATATTAAATTTTCATTTTATTGATTGATTATTCATTTCAATAAATTATAAAAATCATGCTAATAAACATTATAAGTTAAAATCATCGTAATCAAAATATGTTAATAAGTTACCAAAAGATAGAGCAATATTTCGATACATTCCAATCGGAGTATGTTAATTAGTTACCAAAAAATATACCAAAAACTATTTTTATTCAATATATGAATTAGAAACTCGACCCGACACGACTCAAAATAATAATAAAAATTATTTTTATTGAATAAAAACATTGACTTAATTGAAAAAAATTATATATAGAGAGGTATTATTGTAATTATTCCTAAATATATAAGGTAAAATTATATATTTTTTTCGGGTCGGTCCGGTTTTTTCACCCTAAACCTGAACCCGACTCGAATAGCACACTTAAAAAAACCCGACCCGACTCGACCCGAATATCCCACTTAAAAAACCCGACCCGACCCGAAATAATAAAAAACTATTTTTATTTAATAAAAACAGTGACTTAATCCGACCCGACCCGAATCATATATATTTTCGGGTCGGTCCGATTTTTTACCCTAAACACGAACCTGACCCGAATATCACACTTAAAAAAACCTGACCCGACTCGACCCGAATATTACACTTAAAAAACCCGACCCGAACAAAATAAAGTTTCATCCGACCCGACCCGAAATAATAAAAAAATATTTTAATTTAATAAAAACAGTGACTTAATCCGACCCGACCTGAATTATATATATTTTCGGGTCGGTCCCGTTTTTTTAACCCTAAACCCGAACCCGACCCTAATATCACACTTAAAAAAACCCGATCCGACCCGACCAAAATAAAGTTTCACCTGACCCGACCCGAATATATGAATTAGAAACCCGACCTGAAATAATAAAAAAAAATTTTATTCAATATATGAATAAGTTATCAAATGATTGATGAGGGTAGTATGGTCAAATTTCAATTCCCTCCAACAAGGGAATTGAATTCCATCCCTCATTTGATGGAATTCACTTTCCCTCATTTGATGGAATTGAATTCCATCAGGGATTCCAATTCCCTTGAAAAACTTGAACCAAACATTGGAAAGTGGTGGAATTGGATTCCATTCCAAGGGATTCCATCCAACCAAACGCCACCTAAGTGTTATAATCTTAAGGAAAACTTATATAAGCTTAAAACATCAAGAAGATAAAATTTGAAAGGAAATTTGATAAAGGGTTTAGAAATGAATTCTTGATATAAAGAGGTTTTTGAAGTTTTATTGATGAATTTGACTTGTCACTAACCTAATTAAGGAGTATGAAGTGTTAGAATTGGATTTATAACATGTTGAAATTTGAGTATGATTCTTGAATGCTGTGTGAAGGATTGGATTTTTGAAGTTAAAGAGGTATTGAATGATTATTAATTAGTTTAAGTAGGTGTATGTAAGTTAAGGATATGAAAAGGGTTGAAATATGACACAATTGAGCTAGAATGAAGTGATTTTCGTGCTTAAAATTGATTTCTAGGCAAGGGTGTATCGGTACCCATTCAAAAGGTACCGATACACCTCAAGAGTAAAATTCAGGAAGACATTCAAAGTGTACCTATACATAGGCAGTGTATTGATACCCCTTGAAACGAAAAATTTCAAATGTAATTTGTTTACCGATATATAGGCAATGTACCGATACATCAGTGAAGGGATGTACTGATAACCTATAGTGTGTATCGATACAATTAAAAAGGAAAATAGAAATAAATCTTTCATTTA